TAAGCATTACGCATGATTTTTCAATAATTTAAGTTGAGCGTTTTAAATCAGATGGACACATCTTCTCCAAAACGTAGGCAGAATTATTCAATTGATTTGAGATGAACTCTACTAAATAACATGTTGCATATTTTTGGTTTATTTTCCTTTCCTTTAAGCTAATATTATGCAAAATAAGATGCAATTTTGATAAGTGAACTCTTAATTAGTTTTCACGACCGCTCTTGGAACCTTTGCATACACTATTTTGAATTCGCTGATAGGCTGCCAATCAGTGAACAGCTGGAAATGTCTCTTTAAATCTCTTTGATTAGATTATTCAGCCTGGGGTGTGATGCTGAGCAAGATTATTACCAAGAACATATGACAGAATATATGAAACATACTGCTACAAACTAATTTGGAGATTTCATTCACATTACAGTATATACTTGAATTAATGAATCTAAATTCTAAATAGCATCTAAATTAAATGAATCATTCAAGACAAAATAGTATTTAACATCACTGAATCAACCTAAATACATTAGGTTACACTAGCAAACCTAAATGTAAGGGTTAGAAACAGCTCCTCATGGTAACAATTGCATGTGACCACTTTTTGCAATGCATTAGGAATGAGAAGAAATGAGCTTAATATAAAATGCTTTCCCTTCCTCATTTCTTGGATTTGGCCTTGAAAATATATATTAAAGGAGGACAGATTGGGGTCACTGCGGGCCAGGGGAACAGCGGGCCAACTGTCATGTGTCTACCGCCCCACTGTGACACTCTTTAGAAGCGAGATTATGACTGTGGAAACCTTCTTCGCTTAAACATTTCTTACTGAAATGCTTCATTCAGAGATACTAAAGAGGAGCACATAACAGCCAGATGGTCAGAGATGGTGGCAAGATGCTTAGATGAGAGAAAAGAGAGCTTTCCAGGCAGCATCTGAGCTCCAGGGTCAATCCCATCAGCCTCTGGGATGGAACTGTTGCTGCCCTGCTGTAAGTGAGATGATAACACGCTGGGAAAGTAGATGAAGACAAATGAGTGCACCAGTCTGGACCTACAGCACCCGCTCGCTGCTGTCCACCAACAGCCATGAAGACTCAGCGCTATGCTATTACGACACAAGAGTTTTGCAGCATATGCCACAAGAGCAACAGCAAAATAGACTAATAAATAATACATCAAATAAAGGCGAATAACATTTGCTTTCGAACTTAATGCCCTTTGAAATGCACCGTGGAGTCGTCAGACTTCCCTGAATGGAAAATGGAAAGGACCTTGGCTCTGCATTATTATTCATAAATGCATTTGTTTCTGTGTGAAATGCAATACCATTTACCAGCAAGCACACAACAGAGCGAAAGGGAAGACAACATAAGATGAATTATGTGTCCCACACATCTCACTGCTATAACATTCATTAACGGACCATCCTTATAATTAATCGAGCCGCCTCCCTTTGGCTCCATTAATTACAGTTATTTAAAGTGAATAATAGTCTTTAAAAAAAGCTCTGGACTACTGCCAAATTCTCCGGTTTACCAATATGACAAGAAACTTATCTCTCATAAATACACCATGGCCTCATTTCTGGTTCATTTTTCAAAAGTGATTTTCAACTGAATGAATCTATAGTGGAAAATCCTAGTTGAGTATTCAAAGCAGTGAAGGCATAGCGCCTGTACAAGATGATTTCATAGAACAGGTATTTTCATTTTAAATTGAGTAACAATTAAAAAAAATATACAAACACAAACTCAAGCATAGCAGCAAAAACAAATGAAATAAATACTCTACTCTGTTAGGAAAAATAGCTAGTTAGTTGTAGTACCTTGATTTTATTCATGTTACAAAATGAAATATGTATTTGCTCGCTACAGAGATGAAAGATGAACAGAAATAATAATTTATTTCAGTAGGATTTGACATCAAGTGCCCACTAAGGGCTCATATAAATATACAAAATCTGCCGTAAGGCAAAAACACAAAGCCCCTACATATGTGTTGCTTAACCTCTTTCGATATGTATGTATTTATATATACAATAACTCATCTAGGGTGTATACATTTATACTTTGGTTGTCAATCAGATCAATTTTTTAATGGAACTGATTGCATAATTTTAAATAATTTGCGAAAGATCCATATCAATATTTGCTGAGAAGAAAATTAATAGATGTTTTTAAAAAGGATTATTTAAGAGACATCAAAATACAAAAGTCAAGATGTTTTTTAGCATGTCACGCCATGAGCGTCACATTTTTATGATGGCGTGCCTAGACAAAAATAGTTCGAATTTAAAAATGTCTTTATTTAGCTCAATTTGTCTTGTGTGGACGATTCCTTAATCTATACTGTCAGCTCTCTGTAAATCTGCTTCATATACATGTAAGTAGCTTTTCATATTTGTATATATTATTCATGAATTATGTATACATGGGGAAAAAACGGTTTATGAGAACATGATGTTGCAAATGATTAAAATGAAAAACAGATTCATTCAGATGAATATGACATGTTAAAGGATCAGTTTAAAAAGAAAATTAGACCTTGCAGTACTAGAACTTTCTGATTTTGAAAATAAGATAAATAAAGGTGTAGAATGGCAGATGCAGTGGGTGTTAATTTGATTTCTGTCAGCTATGCATGCATCCTCTGTCTTGTAAAGGATAGATTTGTTAGAAGCTGCTCCATGTACTGGCAGAGGGGGAAAAAACTACCAGACGCCAGTCACTCACTGTTCATAGCTAGAAGAATAATGAGCCCTCAGGCTGATTGACATTCTCAGCCGCCTCGTCGTTATGGTTTCCTCTGGTGCTGGCGAGGACACCCGCCCCTGCATCTCAAGCGTTTATGCAAATCTAGGCCTTTTGCCAGCACTAGGCCTAAAAAGAAGGGGTTGGGGGCTCAAAAGGGGTTCAGTGAGCAAAGCTGTGCTTGTATGGAAAGCTGCAACTGGCCCAGTTATCTCTAATAAAAATCGGACTCAGAATCAGAATAATGACATTTTTACCCAGAGTCTGAAGCTGTAAAATGAGATTGAAAATGAATACTTGAAAATAGAATGTATCATTGTGAATCGCAACAAAAAAGTATATTTAATGAGAAAAAAATGTAGAGCGGTACTTTTATCCATCGGGAATTGCTTACATCATAAACTGGGCGTTCTGTAATATGAGTTTGATAAAACAATGCTATAGCTATTTGGCTATTGGGTCATATCTAATAACCTGTGTGGCCTAAGGGGTCAGTGGAAAAAGAAATCCATTTCAGAAGAAAAACGAAATGTATTTTAATTACAAAAACATTTTCCCCCTTTAGATTATTGTGTAAGAACAGAAACCTGCGTTAAGAAAGTAAATAGGATCAATTTGACTTTAAGACCAGCTTGATTAACATTGGTTAGATATTCTGTTTTTATTCTCCTTTAAGTCTTACACATTAAACCAAATCCACATTCATATTAATGTGTGGTGTGGTGATTATGCGTTTAATGCATAATCAGTGTATGGCTCAACCTGTGTTTTCATCTTCTGTGGGCCCAGATATATTTGAGATGAAATAGACTGGGAGAATATATGGGGCACACAGTGGGCTCTGTAGAGCTAGACTTGCTTGATTGGCACAAATGAATGGAAGCGAGGGACAGCCCACCCCTGAGTTAGTTAGACTTGTTACAAGGTTTGTTTTTGCCACACAAAAGGATTCTCAGTGGAGCTGAAATAATGGGCTGAAAGTTTCAAGAATGTCTAAAGTGAATAGAAGGAAAAAGTGCTGCAAGTTATAGAAACGATTTGGCTCAGATTAGCAGTACTAAACCAGATTTCATTTCAGTCAGCCAGCTAACAAACATGTTACATGATTTAAAAAAAAGAAAGAAAGCTAAAAAAGGAAAAAAATAAACATTAGAAACATGAATGTGCATTTGAGAATGTTGACATGAAAATCAGTTATGGTAATTTTATAGCATGTTTTATCACTCTTGGCAGGCAAACATATTTGTAGCTGAAATCAACTAGGACATACTGTACAAGGAACAGTATGCAAATTATTCTTTATTCTTTATTGACTAAAGAGTTTCTGTCAGTAATTTTCATCTGTTAAGCTTTGAAAAAATATTTTCAACCTTTTCAAATCTCAAGAGATGTAGGTTCAAATTTTTTGGGTCTGTAAAATAGTTTAATGTTTTGGAAAATAGTATTTCATTCTCACTAAGGCTACATTTATTTATTTATATACAAAAAAAAGGTAAAAACAAAAAAATGTATTTTATAAAAAATATATCAATATTTTTCAAATGTAATTTATTTCTTTGATGGCAAAGATGAATTTTTAGCAGTCATTACTCCAGTCTTCAGTGTCCTTCAGAAATCATTCATATATGGTGATTATTATCAATGTTGAAAATAGTTGTGCTGCTTAATATTTTTGTGGAAAATATGATAAATTTGTTTTTTCAGCATTCGTTGGTTATTAGAAATTCAAAAGAACAGCATTTATTTGAAATAGAAATATTTTGTAGGAATATAAATCTTTTACATTGTAATCATTATAACCTTTGGTCCAAAAAAAAAAAACTGACCCCAAACAAAAAAAAGAAGCAAAGAAATTGCTTTTGTAGCCAAAATGCTGCTCCTCTGAAACAATTTTCCCATAGACTTAACGCACACAGACTTTTAAAAATCTCTACTGGTTTCCACTTTCTTTTTGGACTGTCAGACCCCTACCCCGAGCCCTCCCATAGCTTGCACCTCGATTAGGAGACTGTAGTGTTCCCTCTTAGACTTTTCACATCTGCCGTGTACTCATAAAGACAGACAGGAGCACAAACAGGTAATGCTTCTCCAGCCAGCAAGGCCTGCTCTCCTCTCTTAATGGAGACATACTACCAGAATAACTGCCACACACTCTCTCTATATTTCTTTCTTGTCTCTAGCACTCCGGTCTATCCCTGAGAATAAAAAAGTGAAAGATGTGCTTCTAACTGCTTTCTATTTTCCCACCAGGTTCCCTGAAGTCTTTGAGCCGTAAGAGCTCCGAGTACATTCTGCCACAAGTACTTCTGTCATCGAGGGGAATGTAACGCCACTGTCGAGTTTTCACTTAATCCTCTCACAGGTAAACGGCGGGACATTTTGCCGGAGGAATTTTGCGCTCAAAGAGTTTTTAAACAGAATGTGAATAAGATATCACTGGTAGAGCTTGCTAGAGAATGAAGCACCTGGAATAGGTCTCTGCCTTTTTTTGTTGGAACAATGGCAGCATGAAATCATAGACTCTAGGTTTTTTTCAATTACCTGGAGGGAGGGCAAGATGGCAAAGCCCTTCTACAGGCTTCAGCGCTTCTTGCGACGGACTCAGCTGCTCTTCTTGTTCCTCGGTGTCGCATACATTATGGCTGGAAGTGTCCTCCTTCTGCAGAGACATGGATTGGTGGTGTCACAGCGTGGGACGAGCAGTTACTTTCCATTGCCGTCTTTGCCATCTCCTCCCAGGGCCCTGGAGGCACCTGCCCTCCGGACAAGTTATGGAATAATAGGCGCTCGGGTCACCAGAAAGGGGGTGGGATTCCAAAGCGTTTTAGCCGAAGACAACGCTGGACCACAATGGCTGATCTCACGAAACCAGGAGATCCGATATCTGAGACGTCGCTGGTTCCACAGCCTCATGTCCGAACAGGAAGCATCCAGAGTGGAGAAAGTTCTTCCGAAAAGAAAAATCCGACACAAAGGTGAAGCTCGGTGCTAAATGAGCTGTGTGCTTTTGAGAATGACAAATTGGTTGTTTATGATAATTGGTTTATTTTCTCAATTATCTGTATTCCAAGCTGTGCTGCGGAATCTTTCCATCTGCAGAAAAAGGTCACGTTCTGAATTTCTGATGCGATTGTTATTCTCTGCTCAGGCACGTACATTGGCTGCTTTCTGGATGACGCCAAAGACCGGGCGCTCAAAGGGATGGTGTTTTATGACTTCCGGAAAATGACCAGCACCTTGTGTCAGGACACCTGCACGGAAAGGTATGTGATTAATACAGAGTATACTCAAATACTCACAGCTTTTGTTTTAATCACGGAGCCACCAAAAGCAGATAGACATCTGTTGCCTGGAGGCTCCTCTGTGCTCATCTTAAATCAAGAAATAATGAAACAGTGTTTAGGGAAAAGAACATGCAGTGTGCATCCCTGTGCCAGCTGGCCGAGCTCATGCTGGGAATTGGATCAGGCCCAATTAATGGAGCGCAGCTCTGGACCTGGACTCCGCTAATGCTGGAGGAGAAACATCTATCTGCCATGATGGAGTATACACTTTTTCAAGTTCTTAGGCCGGCGGATAATTGACCACCAGAGAACAAGTGTGAGGCGGACTGACCTCCTGTAATTACCCCCAACGTTTCAGAGCTTATTTAATTACTTGGGTGACATTTGCAATGTTCAGGGGGAATCTAAATAGTCCATTAGAAAACATGAAACCTAACATGTGCTAAAGATGATCTTTTATTCACGCTGACATAGTCACTTCCTATGAAGAAGAAAATCATATAATTAACAGTGTTGACAAATTTAAGGCAATATTATGTTCTTGCTTTACAGCTAGAGAGATGGTCTGTATAAACTGTACAAAGATCAAACAAACAAACTTGAAAATGCATTTTTTAGTTATTTCAAATGACCAGTGCAAGTAGGTAAAGAAAATGTTCTGAAAATATTGATCATCAGCCACGGAATCAGTATTCATTTAATATTTCAAATTAAATTTTGCCATTAAGACATTTGACATTCTGTTACAATGCATTAAATTAAATACTTATTGACAAAATGATGTAATTTTATAATTTAGAAAACATTGAAAATAATAAAATTAAACAGAAAAGGAAAAAGAAAATAATTCAGAATGGATAACAGAGTTGCAAAGCCTAAATAAATCTCAAGACCAAAGACCAGAAATACCATTTTAAGTGGCATACAGGTGCATCTCAATAAATTAGAATGTCGTGGAAAAGTTCATTTATTTCAGTAATTCAACTCAAATTGTGAAACTCGTGTATTAAATAAATTCAATGCACACAGACTGAAGTAGTTTAAGTCTTTGGTTCTTTTAATTGTGATGATTTTGGCTCACATTTAACAAAAACCCACCAACTCACTATCTCAACAAATTAGAATACTCCATAAGACCAATAAAAAAAAACATTTTTAATGAATTGTTGGCCTTCTGGAAAGTATGCTCATTTACTGTACATGTACTCAATAACTTGGTAGGGTCTCCTTCTGCTTTAATTACTGCCTCAATTCGGCGTAGCATGGAGGTGATCAGTTTGTGGCACTACTGAGGTGGTATGGAAGCCCAGGTTTCTTTGACAGTGGCCTTCAGCTCATCTGCATTTTTTGGTCTCTTGTTTCTCATTTTCCTCTTGACAATACCCCATAGATTCTCTATGGGGTTCAGGTCTGGTGAGTTTGCTGGCCAGTCAAGCACACCAACACCATGGTCATTTAACCAACTTTTGGTGCTTTTGGCAGTGTGAGCAGGTGCCAAATCCTGCTGGAAAATGAAATCAGCATCTTCAAAAAGCTGATCAGCAGAAGGAAGCATGAAGTGCTCCAAAATTTATTGGTAAACGGGTGCAGTGACGTTGGTTTTCAAAAAACACAATGGACCAACACCAGCAGATGACATTGCACCCCAAATCATCACAGACTGTGGAAACTTAACACTGGACTTCAAGCAACTTGGGCTATGAGCTTCTCCACCCTTCCTCCAGACTCTAGGACCTTGGTTTCCAAATGAAATACAAAACTTGCTCTCATCTGAAAAAAGGACTTTGGACCACTGGGCAACAGTCCAGTTCTTCTTCTCCTTAGCCCAGGTAAGACGCCTCTGACGTTGTCTGTGGTTCAGGAGTGGCTTAACAAGAGGAATACGACAACTGTAGCCAAATTCCTTGACACGTCTGTGTGTGGTGGCTCTTGATGCCTTGACCCCAGCCTCAGTCCATTCCTTGTGAAGTTCACTCAAATTCTTGAATCGATTTTGCTTGACAATCCTCATAAGGCTGCAGTTCTCTCGGTTGGTTGTGCATCTTTTTCCTTCCACTCAACTTTCTGTTAACATACTTGGATACAGCACTCTGTGAACAGCCAGCTTCTTTGACAATGAATGTTTGTGGCTTACCCTCCTTGTGAAGGGTGTCAATGATTGTCTTCTGGACAACTGTCAGATCAGCAGTCTTCCCCATGATTGTGTAGCCTAGTGAACCAAACTGAGAGACCATTTTGAAGGCTCAGGAAACCTTTGCAGGTGTTTTGAGTTGATTAGCTGATTGGCATGTCACCATATTCTAATTAGTTGAGATAGTGAATTGGTGGGTTTTTGTTAAATGTGAACCAAAATCATCACAATTAAAAGAACCAAAGACTTAAACTACTTCAATCTGTGTGCATTGAATTTATTTAATACACGAGTTTCACAATTTGAGTTGAATTACTGAAATAAATATATATATATATATATATTGCGTTCTGCAAGTGAACAACACCTTGTGGTGCCATCCCAAAGAGGCACAAAATCTCTATCACGGACCTTTTCCTGGACTGTGCCCAGCTGGTGGAATGACCTCCCGATCTCAATTCGAA